GCCAAGACCGTCAGTAGTTTCAAAGCGTTATATGACAAAGAGTGCTGGGAAGACGGGACACCACGAGCGTAGCTCTCATCCTGTAACTACACTTAGGTAATTACACTTAGGTAATTACCAAGGTCTCCAGAAGGCTCTGCTAGCTTACTCCCTCTCACAGATCAACCAAACAATCTCTTCTCTCTATATGAAAGACAAGAAGGGGTAAAATAAAATTAAACACAAGACGATCAACAAAGCTGGTTTTCCAGCTGTTAAAACCATATACAGTACAGTACTGTACTGTACAGTATATGATAAGGTTAGGATATATTAGCTTAGGTTAAGCTGTGTTAGACTATGACGGATTAGATTTGTTTGGGTTATGTAAGGTTTGGTAGGTATTAATCTCTGTTGCCAGGCTTTCTTGTGTACAATGCAACTTGCACTCAGAAGGGAATAGGGTGAGGACAGGGAGCTATTGAGGTACCCACTAGAAAGGGACATTTTATTACAATCAACATTGAATTTTTGGGAGACCCCATCATTACCTGTTAGATGAGGTTCTGGGAGTTCTTTCTAGTCCCCAAGCCTGGCCCAAGGCCAGGCTTGACTTGTGCTTGACTTAGCCCACCAGGCTGTTGCTTGGAGTAGCCCGCAGCCCACATACCCCCTACAGTCCGATTGGTTCGGCACGTCTTGAAGAAAACTATCTAATTGTTTTGAAGATGTCCACAGTTGTTCCAGCAATATTTCTTATACTCGCTGGAAGGATGTTGAATAACCATAGGCCTCTGATGCTTATACAGTGTACTTTGTGCCTATGGCACCCCCTCCTCTTCACTGGTCCTATTCTGCAATTTCTTCCTTATCATTCACTTCAGTATGTTTTTATTTTACTGTGTAGATTTGGGACCTGGCCCTCCAGTATTCTCCACGTGCACATTATTTGATATCTCTCTCGTCTCCTTTCTAGTGAGAACATTTAGAGAGCTTTGAGACAATCCCAATAATTTAGGTGTTTTATAGCATCTATGTATGCTGCACTGGAATCTTAACAGATATATGAAAAAAGGTAAACCTAGTTCCAATCTACAGAAATAGTAGCAGGGAAGACCCTTTAAATTATAGATCCATATCAATGAAAGTGTAGTAGTCAAAACACCAGCAAAAATAGTTAAAACAAATGGATAGAATACCTGGAGAGAAATGATATACAGTAATAATAATGACAGACTATGGTTTTTGAACAGGAAGATTCTGTATGGCAAGGTACAGTACTGTACTTAGTTTTTATGATAAGAGCCACAGAGATTCTACAGGATTTTTTTGTTTTTAAAGAGATAGTTGGGTTGACTGTGTTTATCTGGACCTTAAAAAGAGTTTTGACAGAGTGCCACACAAGAGGCTGCTTTGGACACTAGAACATGGTGGAGGGGTGACAGCGACACTGCTGACATAGCTGAACAATGTTCTAACTGCCAGAAAGATGAGGACTGTAATCAGAGGCATTGAATCCAACTGGAGGAGCGTTACTACTGTAGCAGAGTACCACAGGGTTCAGTTCTTGCACCAGTAATGTTCATCATCTATATAAACAATCTACTAGAAGGAAAACAGAAATATTTAAACATGTTTGCTGATGATGCTAAGCTACGAGGGAAGACAAGAGATTTAGACACTTGTCATGCCCTTCAAAATGACCTAGACAAAATAAGTATTTGGAGCACCATGTTGTAAATGGAATTCAATGTGTATAAATGCCATGTTATGGAATGTGGAATAGAATAAAATGGGCCCCGCACATCCTACAAATTATGTGGAATGGAATTAAACTCTAACAAGGAAAAAGATTTAGAAATGGTTCTGGTTAGTAGAATGCCACTTAAAGAGCACATAAAGAATACTGTGCGAGGACCACATGCTACGCCTTCCAACTTCAGAATCGCTTTTAAGTACATGGATGGTTAAATATTAAAGAAGTTGTTCATGACTATTATGAGACCAAAACTAGAATAAACTAGAATTATATGCAATACAGTAGTTGTATGGTGCCCGTATCTCAAGAAGCACATCAACAAACTGGAAAAGGTATAAAGTCATGCAACAAAATGGTTTCCGGGACTGAAAGACAAGGGCTGAGGAGAGGCTACAGCTATTATATATACCAAAGCGAAAAGACAGAAGAAAAAGAGATGATATGACTATTATGTACAAAATAGTTATGGGAATCAACTAAATTTATAAAGAAGAATTCTTGAAACCTGGAACTTCAAGAACAAGATGTCATAGATTTTAGCTACAGAAACAAAGCTGCTAAAAAAAATTATAAAGTTGTTAATTTTTGCAAACTGTAGCAGATGTTTGGAACAAATTATGAGGTGGTGTTAGAGGTCAAAACTGTCAGTTGTTTCAAATCATTGTATGACAAAGAGTACTGGGAAGATGGGATGCCACAAGCATAGTTCACATTCTGTAACTACACTTAGGTAATTACAGAGTTAACAAGGTCTCAACCCAAAGAGCAGTAGTAGTTTGCAAATATTGTACTATAATGTGGCTACAGGACAGAATATACGATGCACCCTAGCCAGACAAACCATGCATCAATGACTAATGAATCCTTCATAGAGCAGAGGCCTCATTCTTAGCTAAGTAAGTAATTATCAAAAGAAGGCACCAAACCGGGAAGGCTATGTAGCACTCATTCTTAGCCAAAAACAATGCCAAAAGCTGTGGCACACAAAACCATCACTGACCCCAGACAGAACAACTACACTTCTGGCTGAGTGGGAAGCTTCCCAAACAAACAGCAATAGACCACACTTAAAAAAATGAGTCTTACACCAAGAGAAAACCCAAAACTTACAAGATAAAACTCTAAAACAATAAATAGACCAAGAAGGTTCTGTAGGAGTGTGAATTGGGCGATGACGGAATGCCCAAAACAGTTGGTGGAAAAGGGGGGAACAAACACATCCAGCTCAAATGCCAGCAAGAGAGGGGCTCACCAAGGCCAAATGATGAGAGGCAACAGTACTAGGCATGAACCAGAATATCAAGGGCCAGGAAAGAAATGACATAAGCAGCTAAACAGAGGACAGATGTGAGAGAGAAAGAGGAAGAAGGCACAGCAAATACCTGTAACATACTACTACCTCAAAGAACAACACAATTATGAGCCTAAGATCCCATAGAGACCACATGACACACATACAAGTGTCGGTGCACAAGGTCTAAAAACTCCATAAGTGATGTGCTTGGCATGACATGTGATGTGTCGGGCGCAGTTTATATATGCCAGTTATTGTGTTGCATGCCAAGCCTGGTGCACGTGAGGCACCAAACCTGGTGCACGTGAGGCACCAAACCTGGTGCACGTGAGGCACCAAACCTGGTGCACGTGAGGCACCAAACCTGGTGCACGTGAGGCACCAAACCTGGTGCACGTGAGGCACCAAACCTGGTGCACGTGAGGCACCAAACCTGGTGCACGTGAGGCACCAAACCTGGTGCACGTGAGGCACCAAACCTGTTGCACGTGAGGCACCATGCCTGGTGCACGTGAGGCACCATGCCTGGTGCACGTGAGGCACCATGCCTGGTGCACGTGAGGCACCATGCCTGGTGCACGTGAGGCACCATGCCTGGTGCACGTGAGGCACCAAGCCTGGTGCACGTGAGGCACCAAACCTGTTGCACGTGAGGCACCAAGCCTGGTGCACGTGAGGCACCATGCCTGGTGCACGTGAGGCACCATGCCTGGTGCACGTGAGGCACCATGCCTGGTGCACGTGAGGCACCATGCCTGGTGCACGTGAGGCACCATGCCTGGTGCACGTGAGGCACCAAGCCTGGTGCACGTGAGGCACCATGCCTGGTGCACGTGAGGCACCAAGCCTGGTGCACGTGAGGCACCAAACCTGGTGCACGTGAGGCACCAAACCTGGTGCACGTGAGGCACCAAACCTGGTGCACGTGAGGCACCAAACCTGTTGCACGTGAGGCACCAAGCCTGGTGCACGTGAGGCACCATGCCTGGTGCACGTGAGGCACCATGCCTGGTGCACGTGAGGCACCATGCCTGGTGCACGTGAGGCACCATGCCTGGTGCACGTGAGGCACCATGCCTGGTGCACGTGAGGCACCATGCCTGGTGCACGTGAGGCACCATGCCTGGTGCACGTGAGGCACCATGCCTGGTGCACGTGAGGCACCATGCCTGGTGCACGTGAGGCACCATGCCTGGTGCACGTGAGGCACCATGCCTGGTGCACGTGAGGCACCATGCCTGGTGCACGTGAGGCACCATGCCTGGTGCACGTGAGGCACCATGCCTGGTGCACGTGAGGCACCATGCCTGGTGCACGTGAGGCACCATGCCTGGTGCACGTGAGGCACCATGCCTGGTGCACGTGAGGCACCAAGGCTGGTGCACGTGAGGCACCAAACCTGGTGCACGTGAGGCACCAAACCTGGTGCACGTGAGGCACCAAACCTGGTGCACGTGAGGCACCAAACCTGGTGCACGTGAGGCACCAAACCTGGTGCACGTGAGGCACCAAACCTGGTGCACGTGAGGCACCAAACCTGGTGCACGTGAGGCACCAAACCTGGTGCACGTGAGGCACCAAACCTGGTGCACGTGAGGCACCAAACCTGGTGCACGTGAGGCACCAAACCTGTTGCACGTGAGGCACCAAACCTGGTGCACGTGAGGTACCAGACTTGGTATGTGTGACGTGCCAGGCCTGGCTGTAATGCGACAGGTTTGGTACATGTGACATGATAGGCCTGTCATTAACGTGCCAGGCTTGACAGTACCGTGCTTGGCCTGGTAGTAACGTGCCTGACCTAGAACGGTCTAGTACGTGTGACATAACAAGTACGGTTTGTGTGACGTGCCAGACCTGCTGGTGACCATGGCTCACCAAACAACATAGCAACCACCTCAAACACTCTCTCTCTAGTGTACTGGTATTGGGCGTAGTGGTAATACATATGGTACAAGTGTGACGTACGAGGGAGGTGTGGTTGTGGCCAGAGCAGCAGTAGCAGCAGGAGAAGAAGACTCGGCAGCAGGAAACAACAGAGGTAAGGGCCGCCACTCTTGTGTTGACACTCTCCCTCACAAACACGTCTCGCTCAAATTATCCACAAATAACAAACTCAATTTATATATTAATTTCTTGCTACTTTGAAGATTAAAATACTTTTTTATAAGAACATTTACATATTAATGTAGTAGTAAAAAACATATATATAAAAAATGCACGAACTTGAAAGTTTGAAAACTTAGATGGTGAGCGGGGCAGGTCCCACCTACTGACCCGCCACCATCTTTTGCCGTCGTCGGAGACACCAAGCCTGATTCAACCTGTACAGTACTGTCCTTAGGCTTGTCGACTTCACCCCTCCTGAACTACTGACTTTTCCCAGGATGCAACCTAAAACAGTTACCTTACTCCTGATTACCTATTTACTGCTAGATGAACAAAAGCATCAGGTGAAAGGAAATGTGCATAGTGGTGTGTCCGGCACAGGAACTGAACGCGGAATTCTGACTTGTGAGCCGACGACCTAGACTACTGTGCTACAGACCCCGCAACTATGTATTTTCCCACTGCTATTTATTTCTCTGCCCGCCTTTCAGGAAGACATTAGCAAACTACAGGAGTGGGCAAACAAATGATTGTAAGAATTCAATCCCAACACATGTGATGAACAGGAGAAGTGAGAAAGCAACAACAGGAAAAAAATTTCAGATTGGATATAATCACAATACTAACACCATAGGCACATCTAAATAAGGAAACATCAGTAGTATACAGTACATAAAAAAAGCTCGCGAACATTAAAATGTCATTTAAAACCTAAATGAGTACTCTTTCCAGTCTCCGTGGTGTAGTGGTAAGACACTCACCTGGCGCTCCGCGAGCGCTTTGTCACGGGTTCGTATCCTGGCCGGGGAGGATTTACTGGGCGCAAATCCTTAACTGTAGCCTCTGTTTAACTCAACAGTAAAATGTTTACTTGGTTGTAAAAACGATTCTTCGCGGCGGGGATCGTATTCCAGGGACCTGCCCGAAACGCCACGCGTACTAGTGGCTGTACAAGAATGTAACAACTCTTGTATATATCTCAAAAAAAAAAAAATCTGCACAGCTCTTGTTAAGCCAATGCTGGACTTTTTTTTTTTACCTGATTTACCCGAGGGCCACTAACCCTAGTGGCCTCGACGAGAACAGGAAGCCGGCGGCTTGTCAACCCCCTCCCCTCCATTTGTCTTGATGATCTTATCCAGATATGTTTTAAAATTCAGCACAGTTTTGACAGTTATGCCTTTAGCGAGTAGGTGGTTCCATGGATTAATAGCCCTGTGGGTGAAAAAGCATCTCCTCTTCTCAGTCCTACACTGTGGCTTGTTGAGCTTGAAACCGTTGAACCTTGAAATACTACGAAGATAAATTTACCCAAACAAAGGGGCAACATTAAGAAAAAATGGAGCACAATTTCACAAATATTGGGATCAAAGAAGATTTTAAATAACAAACCAATACTCCTGTCCAATAACGATGGTCAGCTTACAGCCTCTGATACTGCTATTGAGTTCAATAGGTTCTTCTCTTCCATTGGGTCATCCCTTGCAAATGATATTCCATCTTCCAGTACTGATGTTCAGGACTATCTTACAGGTAATTATCCGCAGTCTCTGTACCTAACACCTGCAAATTCCACTGATGTTAGTGAGATAATCCTTTCCCTTAAAACAAAGTCTAGTGCCCTTGAGGAGATACCAACTTTAATTTACAAAAAAGTTTCCAGATCTTTAGCTCCTGCTATTGCATTGCTCTTCAACAAGTCACTTGAACTCCAAACCTTTCCAGATATTCTAAAAAAAAAAAAAACGAGAATAACCCCTGTCCACAGATATGGTGATCTCACTGATGTCAACAACTTCAGATCTATATCAGTCCTGCCAAACTTGTCAAAAATATTTGAAAAACTAATCTACAAGCAGCTTTACTCTTATCTAGCCAAAAACAATATACTTGTCAATATACTCTTGTCAATATGGCTTCAGACCCAAAAAAAGCACTAACGATGCACTTATTAGTATGATTAACTTGATACATGCAGCTCTTGATAAAAATGAGTTCCCTGTTGGGTTATATGTGGACCTGCGTAAGACTTTTGACACTTAACCACCAAAACCTTTTTCTTAAATTACATCATTATGGAGTCAGAGGTCATTCCCTGCAATACCTCAAATCTTACCTTACTGACAGGCTCCAGTATGTTTCAGTGAATAATTTAATTTCTCCCACCCTACCCATCAACATTGGTGTCCCTCAGGGCAGTATACATGGCCCTCTCCTCGTTCTCATCTATATTAATCTATATTAATAACCTTCCAAATGCCTCCCAACATCTCAAACCAGTTCTATTTGCTGACGACACAACCTTCATTTACTCCAGTTCTGACCCCCTTGCTATAAATGTCACTTTGAATACTGAGCTAAATAAAGTCCATCTTTGGCTAACTGCCAACAAAGCCACCCTCAACATTGACAAAACTTTCTATATTTTGTTTGGCAATAAATCCTCAAATCAAATTAATCTCAGGATAAACGATACCCAAATTTGTAACAAAGTAGATGGCAAATTCCTTGGCGTTCTCATTGACCACAAACTGAATTTCCAGGGACACATTCTAAATATATGAAAAAAAGTTTCAAAAATTGTTGGCATTCTTTCCAAGATCAGATATTATGTACCTTTTTTTTTTTTTTTTTTTTAAAAAGATATATACAAGAGTTGTTACATTCTTGTACAGCCACTAGTACGCGTAGCGTTTCGGGCAGGTCCCTGGAATACGATCCCCTGCCGTGAAGAATCGTTTTTTCATCCAAGTACACATTTTACTGTTGTGTTAAACAGAGGCTACAGTTAAGGAATTGCGCCCAGTAAATCCTCCCCGGCCAGGATACGAACCCATGACATAGCGCTCGTGGAACGCCAGGCAAGTGTCTTACCACTACACCACGGAGACTGTAAACCCCATATTTTGACTTTGACAGATTTTGACCCCACGGTCCTTTTCTTCATCAATCTGCTGTAATGTAATGCTATTAATTTGATAGTTGTGACGTGGATTATTGTGCTCCACATGCATTTGTTTTGCATTTATCGACATTAAAAAGCATTTGCCAGTCATCTGACCATTTGTGGAGTTCCTGTAGATCTCTTTGTTAGGTCTCAATATCTCATTCACGTCTCTCTTTACCATAGACCTTAGTGTCATCTGCAAATTTGATTATGAGGTTTGTAATATTCTCATCTATGTCATTGATGTATATAACAAAAGGGTTGGCCCCAAAATGAACCCCTGCGGTACCCCATTTAGCACATTTCCCCAGTCAGATTCCTTCCCATTTAGCACGACCCTTTCTTTTTACGTTTTCTACATTTTTTCTCTGTTTTCTTTCCTTTTCTATAAAAAAAAAATGACCTTGAGAAGAAGTATAGGTTAGGAGTCGTCTCCAAAGAATTTTCAAAGATTTACTCATGAATGCTGTCAAAAATAATTAGGAGAGACAAAAAAAAAATACTACAAAAATAAATTCACCCAAATTAAGGACAACATTAAGAAAACATGTAGAACTATTTCACAAATATTGGGATCAAAAACGATTTTAAATAAAAAAAAATACTCCTATCAAATAACGACGGTTTGCGTTCAGCCTCTGATATTGCTATTGAATTCAATAGGTTCTTCTCATCCATTGGGACATCCCTTGTTAATAATACTCCATCCTCCCGTACTAATGTCAAGGACTATCTTACAGGTAGTCCGAAACGCCGCGTAATTCGGGCAGTTTCCTGCCCGAAACGCTTTGCGTAATAGTGGCTTTAGGCATAGTATGTACTAGCTCTATCTATAAATCCATCAACTTTTGTATCTTACCTTGTATGTATGTACCTTACCTGAATAAAAATTTATTATTTTATTTATTATTATTAGGTAACTATCCAGAGTCTCCGTACCTAACGCCTGCTAACTCCACTGATGTTAATGAGATAATCCTTTCCCTTAGAACCAAGTCTAGTGCCCTTGATGAGATACCATCTCTAATTTACAAAAAAGCCTCCAGATTTTTAGTTCCTGCCATTGCATTGCTCTACAACAAGTCACTTGAACTCCGAAACTTTCCAGATAATCTAAGAAAAAGCGAGAGTAACCCCAGTCCATAAATGTAGTGATCTCACTGATGTCAACAATTACAGACCTATATCAATTCTACCAAACTTGTCAAAAATATTTGAAAAACTAATCTACAAGCAGCTTTACTCTTATCTAGTCAAACACAATATACTTATTTCTTGGCAATATGGCTTCAGACCTACCAAAAAAGCACTAACGATGCACTTATTAGTATGATTAACTGATACATGCAGCTCTTGATAAAAATGAGTCCCTGTTGGGTTATTTGTTGACCTACGTAAGGCTTTTGTCACTGTCAACCACCAAAACCTTCATTATGGAACCTTCATTAAATTACATCATTATGGAGTCAGAAGTCACCCCCCTTCCAATATCTTCAGTCTTACCTTACTGACAGGCTCCAGTATGTTTCTGTGAATAATTCCATTTCTCCCACCCCACCCCATCAACATTGGTGTTCCTCAGAGCAGTATACTTGGCCCTCTCCTCTTTCTCATCTACATTAATGACCTTCCACATGCCACTCAACACCTCATACCAATTCTTTATTTATTTATTTATTTATTTATTTATTTATTTATTTATTTATTTATTTATTTATATTCATACAAGAAGGTACATTGGGTTGTGAGGTTACATAACATAGTAAGGACATTCTTGTAAAGCCACTACTAGTACGCGCAGCGTTTCAGGCAGGTCCTTAATCTAAGAAAATTTTAAGTAGGTAAATACTAGCAAAATTCTATTTGCTGATGGCACAACCTTCATTTTCTCCAGTCCTGACCCCTCTTGCTATAAATGTCACTGAATACTGAACTAAATAAAGTTCATCTTTGGCTAACTGCTAACAAACTCACCCTTAACATTGACAAAACTTTCTATATTTTGTTTGGTAATAAAT